GTGGTACGTATGGAGTTCCCTGCCGATGAATCGACAACGGTGATAGTCTTCTACAGTTCTGTTCAGATAATCATCTGTTCCTAGTAAGCGCTAACTTCAGGCACAAAGATAGACACAGCGTAACCTGGCGACCTCCATCACCAAATCAACGCTGGACTCAGATAGACCACATAGCGATAGGGTATCGTTAGAGAGGGTCAGCAGATCTTTCTGAAACACATGCGTAGACTCCGATCACGCTCTGGTCCGCGCACGTTTATGCTTACGATTAAACGGGCATAAGAAATTGTTGGCAGCGAAACAGTTACGTCCCCAACTAGATCGAGACAGTTGGTCCCTTTTAAGGAGGAAATAGCGAAACATATTTCTGAGGTCAACAGCAGGACTTTCCCTGAGTTAGCCTGGCACAACATACAGTTAGCTGTAGACACAGCTGTGAAAGCTGTTAATTGCCTAAAACCAAAAGTTAGTAAAAGTCATTGGATCTCTACCACCTCATCCGAACTAATTGACGCAAGAAGACTGATTTCGGCGGGGTCCGATTATGATGAGGAGCGAAAGCTACTCAAAAGCAAACTAACAAGAAGTTTTCGCAACGACCGTGAACAGTGGTGGGCGACAAAAGCGAAAGAGATGGAAAAGGCATCGAGGATTGGTAACACCAGACAACTATTTAGGCTTATCAGGGAAATAGCTGGTAAAAGGCGAACGATAAGTGAAACAATCTCTGAGAAAAATGGCACCATAATTAGCTCCCAGAATAGACGACTGGAATGTTGGAAAGAACACTCTGAGGAGCGGTTTAATTGGCTTACAGCCACACTCAACGAATATCCAACACCCCCCGTGAATGGGATATAGACACAGGTCCTCCCTCCTTAACTGAGGTTACTAAGGCTGTCACTAGTCTAAAACGAAGCAAAACAGCAGGACCTGGTGGAATGACTCCAGAGGTATTTAAGTACGGTGAAGAAAGTTTACTGTCTGTGTTAACTAAGGTATTAGACGGCGTCTGGGAACCAGAAGTCCCGTTGGGTCGGTGTAAGTCATTGATTATCCCGATATACAAGAAGGGAGACAAGTCTTCCTGTGATAATCACAGGGGGATTAGCTTGACTAATATGGTATCTTAAGTTCTAGGCTCAATAATCATGCGTAGACTAAGCGGTCCACGGGAGGAACAAACACGAGACAACCAGGCAGGCTTTAGACTCCGAAGAGGGTGTATTGATCATATCTTCACTCTTCGACAGATTCTGGAACATAGGCATACTTACCGTTGGTGTCCAACAATCGTTATATTTCTTGACCTAAAGGCGACGTCCGATTCTGTTGACCGAGAGGTACTATGGCAATGCTTGGCTGTGAAAGGAATGCCGAGAAAATACATTGCACTGACCAAGGCACTCTACTCGAACTCATGCAGTCAACCAAGTAAGAGCTTATGGCGAGTTGTCATCTGAATTGGTCACAACTAGTGGTGTCCATCAGGGATGTCCACTGTCGCTATAACTTCTGTTTAATTTCATCGTAGATATACTAATGGACTTAACCCCTAACTGACTTGACCGACTCAAGGATTGACATTTTACCGGCAGGGAATAATCTCGTTCACTTTTAATATGCAGATGATATAGCCCTCTCTCTAAGGTGAAGACGCCAACAAAATAGAGTAGAGTCTACTGAACACCTCGAGGAGAAGAATTCTTTGAATGTTTGGTATGCGGTTCACTCCCTCCGTCAAATATAAGATGATGCTACAGGACTGGACTACATCGACTCATTCCTAGCTTAAAGAGAGGCATGAGTGAAGTGGTGGCTGGGCGTGTTGACCACTTCACTTATTTGGGAAGTTGGATTAACCAACGCCAGCTGGTCGATCACTGACGAAATCTCAATACGGATACAGAAGGCTCGTTTCGTATATGCCAGTTTACGCAGTCTCTGGCTTAGTTGACGTTACATCCAGTCGGTTGTCGATTAAAGGATGTGTATACTGCTCGGCAGTCAGTTCCCTCCGTCCTCCTTTATGGCTGTGAGCGAGAACTAGCCATCGAAAATGGAAGACATGAAAAGACTAGCTGTCTTTGATCATAGGTGCCTGCGTTATATCTCCCGTGTCACGTGGTGGTATAATATAGGGTGAGCAATATTGAGGTAAAGCATCGGTCGAGTGCTAGGTAAGGATGGGAAATCAACAAACAAGGTCATGAATTTACATTAATTGAAATGGCTTAGGGGACATGTGCTACGCATGCCTAGCCATCAATCGCCTTCCTCGGCAACCGGAAATGTTAGCTGACATAGGTTAGGGTTGGAAAAGAGCTAGTACGTGGTGGTCAAACCGAAAGATGGCTTCATCAGTCAGTGAAATTCATAACAGTTAGTTTAAGCCAGCCACGTAGGGAGGTGCAGACTTCTTGACTGGTTGGGGATCCTCGGGATGGTAAAGACCAATGAAGGCTGCAGGCAATCGATGATATGGCTCGAAATCCTCCTTCACAATAGCTGGGGCATATGCATCCACCTCCTGGTGACTTATAATTTCCAATGAAACTATTTTGTTCTTCGTTATTACTATTCCTTTTGTCTCATATCCCTGTCTACTGTCTCTATTATGCATTTCTTCTACTTTCTTCTCTTGCTTTGTGTGCTACAAGGAGGAAGTGTGGCGACTTTCAACTGCTGCACATCGATGCAAAGTTCTACGCTGAAAACAGACAGACAAACATTCACACTCTATTATGGGTAAATTTTGTTTTGTTAAAGTCTCATAGTGTTATACACACTCATTGTAATTTCCTATATCCACTAAACTGTCATCATTTTCGATATTTACTATTCTTCCTTCCTCATTCAAATTTCTGCTTAATTGTCATTCTTTTTTTTCCTTCCCTAACTTTGTTTGAACTGCTGCAGTTTGTACAACATTCTTTCAAAATGAAATTCAGTCAGTTTGTCAATGAATCTAATCTGCCTACCATCAATCAATTCAAAATGCATTTTAGCTTGGTGATCATCCATAGAGTACAAAAAACTTGAATGATACTGCTGTTCAGTTAACGTTAATATTAACAAATAGAGAGACATGACACTGAGCTCCTTGTCATCAATATCCTTGTGCATTCAAGCTAAAAATTTCTGAATAGAATTGATCAGTCTTATATATATTTTGGCAAATGAACACTTTGAGCATACTACATCCAACTAACCAATCCCCTTCCCGAATAGTCGGGGACTGGCGTCCTAAATTCCACTGCTGGCCATCAGCCAAGAGAATAAATCAAACAGACATTTCATAACAATATTGGTGAGTCGGTAGTTCACAAATGGTAGAATGCTATCACTAGACGACCACATGGTCTGGGTGCTCGATCCCTGGGTCGAACACCGATGCAATCCTAAAGTTCGCTTAGCCAGTAGTAGGAGTAGTAGTAGTGTAACGACAGAAGACAAGGGCCAGGCAACAGATCGTTTATTGAGAAAATTAACAGATATTTATAGATTTTTATGCACATTATTGTTAACGGAGAAGCAACTTCTTCTGATTGTGGAAAATACCCATTGGAACATTAGATTGAAAAGAACAAGAAGTTCAGCAAAGATGGCGGTCTTTTCGGCGATTTAATTCTCAAGAACTGTACAATCGCATTAATATAGATTAGTTCAAATGGATACAAAGATACTAGTCCAGCCTTTACAACTACCATGGAAGGTCGTTCTATGCAGGTCTTATCAAAACGTGTTAGAGAACATCATCCAGCATGGCTACAAAGAGAAGGCACTGGTTCAATCAGAAGTGCAATAACTGAACACCTCGTCAATCAATACCTGTCACAGAATCTCATCTGACTCATCATTTAGAGTCATTTACAAAGTAAACAAAAATCCACCACCAAAGGCAGTGTGTTTCCGACTTCTTTGTACTGCACCGAAAAGCCGGAGCTATGTATTCAAAAGAAATTAGTCCAGCCTTTACAGCTACCATGGACCAAGCTCGGTATGTTCCCTTATCCTTCAGTTTTTTCTTTTGTTATCTGTGTGTGCATATTTCTCTCTTTGTCGTCATTCAATTCATCCCGATTTTTTCCAGTTATAAAATCAGTTAAGTTTGTTTCCATGCCCCTCCTGATCACACTTGTAATCCGTTTAGAATAACCATTTTACAATTATATTCTAATCCTGCGTAATATTTTTTGTTTCTATGCCTCTTGTAATCTATATTCACACCTCCTAACTTACATTTCAATGTAAAAATTATTATTTCAATTTGTTTCCATGCTCATTTTGTCCACACCTGTAATTCGTTTTATCCCTGCATCTCTAAGCCTCTTGTAATTCATATCAACTTAAAAATAATTATCACCTTTTATTCGCCTTTAAAATTATTTCTCCAGCTATCAAATATTAATTTTGCATACGTTGTAACTGTTTTCTAATCCTATGCGATTTTGTCTCTAAGCCTCTTGTAATCTATATTCCTACCTTCAAACTTTCATATCAAGTTGAAAATTATTATCACCTTTGTTACTATATGGAATTAAACAAATAGTAATTGTATCCATGTAAACTAATCTATATAAATGCGATTGTACAGCTGCTTTTGAGAATGAAATCACCGAAAAGATCAACATCTTTGCTGAACTTCTTGTTCTTTCCTTCTGATTGGTTGTTTCCTTGCTGAAAGTTATTCTGCTGCTGCTGCTTGTGACCGTTTCTCAGAAAGTTAAGCCATATATCTGTTAATCGTATTTGCACACGTTAAGTCTGCTGTGTGTGATTGGTTATTGAGTTCCTCATGGTTGTGCTTTGTTCTTGTTTTTTCTTATGACGCTGATTTGAGACGTAAGCATTGACGTAAATTGCTGTCTACCAATTTTGGCTAGCAGACAGCTCTCACCACAGTAGTAGTAGTAGTAGGCTCAGCGAAAAGGGAAGGCTGAGGAGGGCATGCGGCTAGACACCCTACTCACAACGCAAGGAAATGAAAAAAGCAATTAGTCCTAAACAAATACATATATATGTTATAAAAAAATCGTAATTTCAAGAATGTACACTACTCATTCTCTGAAATGAAATCAAGAGAGAAACAAATCGAACTGCACGATATCATACGCATCCATCGATCCATACATACACACACACACACACACACACACAGAAAATCAATATTCGCAGTAGAAAACGTAAAGGCAAAGAGGAAACAAAAGAATTGATCTTTAGAAAAAGTCAAAAAGAAAGATACAAATAAGTAAATATGACAGCTGATAAATTTAAACAACAATCTCGACTAGCAGTGAAGATAACAAGACATCTGACAACTTCGATCAATTCCAAATATCTCTTCAAATGGGTAATATGTATACATTAGGAAGCTGGTAAAATTTCAGTTATCACATTAATAATAAGTAAGTATACTGAAAATAGTCAGCTTTTCAATTGAATTGAAACTTTTAGTTCACGCGGGATTTTCAAAAGTGTGCGCTACTTCATTGAACGTGTGATCATCGTTTCAAAACGCTAAATAGAGTATTCTGTAAATAATTGAAAAACAGATAGGAATTTGTCAACTTCTCAGCAAAAAAAAACCAAAAAAAACAATTAACAATAAATACTGGGAAAAAGAATGTTTTTCAACACACAAAGATGGTTTAAACTTACTAATTTCTTGGGGGTTCCCACAAATTTTAGGATACATCAGCCCCCTCGCCCTCTTGAAACACGCTTCACAGATCGATTTAATGGACTCAGAAATACCAACATTTATAATATGTGTTCCTCAACTAAAGAAGAACTAGGTTATCTATTTTCAGCATTATTAGGTTCAAGGGATTCAATTCACTTCGAAAACCGATCTGGGATATGCTGTAAAACTACTACACACTAACACAGAACGATGAGTCCTCCCTATTTATGTATGTATGTGTGATCACACATCATATTTAACGAAGCACATTATAGATACAAAGCTTAAGGTTAATGCTGATACATCTTTGAAACCTATCTATAAAATGGGCTTGTAACGGTATAACTGTTTGGAAGAACCTTCCTGGACGATCTAATCGTAATATTTATACTCAATTTAACGTTTCAAATAACTTTGTAATTGGATGGAGGATTTCATCATGAGCTGACACATCAGTTAGAGAACCACTGGAAAACCACCTGGCAGTACTGGACAGCTGTTTCGCTGTAGTTTGAGACTCTTCATCAGTACGCATCCACACCGTGAGGTTCGAACCCAGGATCTTCTGCTGGTTACGAGCTCGCTCGCCCAGGTTTTTCAGCGGTTCTCTAACTAATGTCAGCTCATGATGAAATCCTCCATCCAATTAAACACAATCCTTACAAAATCAATACTTGAAAACTTTGTAATTATTATAAGTTTACCTCCCGCAAAACGTGCGTCTATCATTACTTCGATATTTGCATATCATGTGTTGATTTTGACCTTTTTGTATTTGCCTTTGTCTTGCCTTGTTTAATCTGTAATTGTAATGTATCTTTTCGTGGTTGTATGCATATTGGCAATGTATTGCTTAACGATATGAGTTTGTTTGAGTGAATCAGTGGTCAGGCAATCGTGAAGACATTATAAGACGACTGTAGAAATTGGAACAAAATGAAGGTGTACTGTTGAGGTTAGGCGTCGAGTGCTAGGTAAGGCGGGGAAATCAGTCGACGAAACTGTGAAATTACATCGACTGAGATGGTTAGGACATGTGCTACGTATGTCTAGCCTAGTCATCGCCTTCCTCGACTGATGGGCAATGTTAGCTGATATAGGATCAGGCTGAAAAAGAGCTAGCACGTGGTGGTCAAACGAAAACATGGCACCAGTCAGTGAAATCCACAACAGTTAGTTTAAGCTAGCCACGTAGGAAGGTGTCGACTTCCAGACTGGTTGGGGTCTTCGGGACGATAAAAACCAATGGTTGGAAACAATTGGTGACATGGCTCAAAATCGTTCTCAGTGGCTAGTGCAGATGCATCCACTCCTTGTGACTTATGATTTCCAATGAAACTGTTTTGTTCTTCGTTATTACTATTCCTTTGTCTCACACCTCTGTTCACTGTCTATATTATGCATTTCTTCTACTTTCTTCTCTTCCTTTGTGTGCTACAAGGAGGGAGTGTGGGGACTTGAACTGCCTCACATATTTGTAAAGTTCTATGTCGAAAATCGACCGACCGACCGTTGAAGCTCTATGTTCCACTTGGAACCTAAGTGAATAATAACAATGAGAATCCACAGCTCCCCTGACAGTATTCGTATATATATAATATATATATATATATATATATATATATATATTAAATGGTTGGGGGCTATCGGCCACAGGAAGCCTTGCCTGACTTAGGCTTCGTGCTAGTTGGCACTCATCAGTCAGTCAACAAGGCGGCTTATCTGCAACCTTGAAGGAACTCATACCCTTTCAACATTCAAACCCGCGTTACCCAGTGCTGCCTGAAGTCAGAGACATTAACACTGAGCTATTCAGCCTCCCGGTTGACCTCCTGCAGGACTGTATTGAATATTTTTTTTAATTGGACACTAGTCTGTGACTAGTTTAATGTGTGTGTGTGTGTGTCTAGTGCTATCTTTGGTGCAGACTGAATTCTATCAATTCCAAGGCTTCCTGCCGATCGCCTCAAACCATCTAATACAGACAGTTCACAGTGCACCGTGATGGCGAGCCACCTAGTCGCATGGTGGCTACATTGCAAACTTGACTAACGGAATTCAGTATGCACACACATTAAACTAGTTACTGACTAGTGTCCAGTCAAATATACATATATTCCTTGCATTCCCAGGGGAACATAAGGCTCTGAGCTTCAAGCTTTAGAGTTTCAGTGTACGTGTTGTTTTTCTACGGAGTAAAGTTACTGTAACAGAATAACTCCTTGGAAAATCCCCCACCTTTAACGATCTAATCACTTATTTGAATGTTTCAACCAACTCTGTCAATATTATTATCGGTTTTTCTCCTGGACCATGTCACTGCTCTGACATTTATCTATCATATATTGACCTGATCCTTATTAATTTGTCTTCGTCCCTGTTTAATCTCGAATTTCAATGCTTCTCTTTGTAATTGTGAAATACAACACTGATAATACGTTGTTTTACAATGTGATTTTGTTTGAGTGAACCAGTGGTCATTTTTTTACGCATTCTGACTGTTTGCGGGAAGCCATGGTGGGTGGTGATTCTTGTGGACAACAAAGTCTTTGATCCCAACTTGTTGGGATGTTGTTGACTACTGTATAGTGCTACCTAACGACACTGTCGAGGTAATTTTGAGTTGCTGATGTTATTACTCTTGTTGTAATTACACATAGATTCAACCAAGAATAATCGTCTTTTCGCCATCTTTGGAGAGTTTTATGCCTGTGTGTGTGTGTGTGTCTCAGAGAAGTTTCAGGTAGCTATATACAGTAGGACACAAGGATCGGTTTCTTGCACTCAAACCCCTAAGAGTCTGTTTTGATCGTAATAGTGTTAACCTCGTCTAGTTTATCAGTCAGTCCTAGGCCAAAGAAAACAAGGGAAGGTTGGATGTGGGGCTAGTCTACCCTACCCTACCCTACCCAACCACAGAAAATCAACTCAATTGATAAAGAAACTTCAACACACAGAAGACGGTCAGGTCATTATGACTTAGAACTGTCTATTGAAAGCGTTAAAGTGTGTGTGTGTGTGATTCTGTTGGACAGAGCTTCTCATCCCACTTTGTTGGGCATATGCTCCTTGATTCTGCGATACCTTTTACAGTTGAACTTTGGTTATTTATTTACTGTTCATTTAAACGCAGAAAAAACTTGGTACAATATGGTACCAGGAAAGATGCGCCACACAATAATAATAAAACAACATAGATCAAAAGTAAAAAATATAAGTAGAGAACGGGTTAACAACTTCAAGTTCAGTATTCGTTAACTGTTATCAGGAAGGGAAGAAAGAAGGAAATTTCAACACGTTCGCCATTGATTACGATTCTTGGCCAGATAACGTTTCGAGCCACCGACTCGGGCTATCTCGCAGACCGCAACCAGGGAGTCGTGACGCATCAACCGATGCTAATCTAGCACAAACATCCTTCATCCCACGACGCCACGTCATGGACTGACCGCCCCTCCGCCTTTTCCATCCCGTCCCAGGGCTAGCGAAAAGAGACCACCGTTGCGGAAGCCTCTTGGATGACTTTCGCAGCACATGTCTAAGCTACCGGAGCCGGTGTTTCCAGATGACGACAATCAGTGAATGGTGATCTTCACTGTGTTCAAACACACGCCGCCAAACCTCAGAATTACTCACGCGATGATACCATCGAACGCAAGCAATCCTGCGGAGACAGCGATGATCAAACACACAGAGTCGCCGCACATCCTCAGCTCGGAGAGGCCAGGTTTCACAGGCGTAGAGCAAGACAGCCCGCACTGAAGCATTGTATACCTGACTTTTGACAGCCAGGCTAACGGCGCGACGGTGCCAGAGGTAGCTCAAGTTGATGTATGCCACCCTAGCTTTCATTATACGGTTGGAAATCTCATCCGTCACCCCTCGGCTAGCACTCACACAACTACCCAGATACACAAATTTATCAACAACTTTAAGCGGTTCACCCGCAAGAGTGAGTGCAGTTACAGGCTCTTACCAATCTTGTGAGAGTACTTTGCACTTAGACGGTGCAAAGCACATACCATACTTACAGACACTGATCGCCAACTGATTAAGTGCGATTTGGGCAGCCGCCTTCTATTGCACAGTAAGACGATATCGTCTGCATACTCGAGGTCGAAAAGTCTATCTCCAGGTAGCAGATCTACACCACCTTCACGCACATCCGCTTCAGAGCTGACTCCAGAATGTCATCGATGGCAAAGTTAAAGAGAAATGGAGAGATTGGGCAACCCTGTTTAACCCCACTGTTGGTTGGGAACAGTGATGATAGTCGGTTGTATGCCCTCACTCTACCTGAGGTATTTCTGCATAGGGCTTTCAAGATGTTAACGAATTTCTTAGGTACACCTCTCTCTAACAGACAGTTCCAGAGCACAGTTCTGTCCAACGAATCGAAGGCAGCCCTAATATCAAAGAAACACAACGATCGTTGGCCTGCAACTTCGGTTAACTAATTTTATCTTACAGCACCTGATCCGTATTTAGAAACCTACAGTGCATATGTCACTGTATCAGGTCTTCGATAAAAATCGATAAGGATAAGCTTATAATCTAACCGTTTGATTTTTCTCAAGGTTGACATTTGGACCAATCAAATTAAATTCCCTCTAGATTTAATCCACCAATCATAAAACAGATGTTATGTAGTTATAAAAAAACACGTTGTGTAAAATAGGAGGTGACTTACACTTAATTTTTTCGATGAATTATCATTAGAAGACGGTGAAGATATACAGTTAATTTGCTGTTGTTGTTGTTGTTGATGATGATGATATTCATCATGACGTAAACATTGTAATTCATCAGTTAAATTTGCCATATGTTTAGCCATTTCATTAACTTGTTTCACTGTATTTGTTTTAGTCAATTCAAGTTGTTCTTTTAATTCATTGATATGATTTCCTAAGCGGGTGATTTCTAATTGTTGTTTTTGATTTATACTGACTAATTGTGAAATCCATGGCATTAAAGATTCAAGCTAAAATAAAATACGATAATGAAGTAGAAAGAAGAGAGAGAGAGAGAGAGAGAAATATTTGATAACTCATTATTGACAAATTAATTAATAGACAGTACGAGGGGGGGGTAGAATCAATCAATCACCAGATTGTTGTTTTTAGAAATGAAGAATATCCATATCAAAGTATAATAAGGTGAGCAATATTGAGGCTGGTGCGTCGGTGGCATAGCGGTTAGGACTCTCGCCGACCATGCACATGGTTCGGGGTTCGATTTCCGGCCGACGCACCCCTTTACCTCGCTAAACCAGAACTAAAAGCTAGTGAAGAAGAAAGGTTGGACATGAGGCTAGCAACCCCATCCTGTAAAAATAAACACTGCTACAGAAACTTCAAGCCTGTGGCTTGAAGCCCTATGTTCCACTGGAAACGTGAAGGAATAAAAAAATATATTGAGGTTAGGCATCAGTCGACTGCTAAGTAAGGAGGGGAAATCAATCGACGAGGCTGTGAAGCTGCATCGACTGAGATGGTTAGGGCACGTGTTACGCATGTCTAGCCCCACCAACGCCTCCCTCGACAACAGGCAATGTTAACTGACATAGAGTCAGGTTGGAAAAGAGCCAGTGGTGGTCAAACCAAAACACGACTTCATCAGTCAATCGGAATAGACAACAGTTAGTTTAAGCCAGCCAGCCATCTACGTAGGAAGGTGTGCACTTCCTGACTGGTTGGGGTCCTCGAAATGGTAAAAACCAATGGCTGGAGATATTCGGTGATATGGCTCAAAATCCTTGTGATAAATAATTTCCAGTGAAGCTATATTATTCTTCGTTATTACAATTCCTTTTGTCTCATATCCCTGTCTACTGTCTCTATTATGCATTTCTTCTACTTTCTTCTCCTGCTTTGTGTGCTACAAGGAGGGAGTGTGTGTGGCGACTTGAACTGCTGCACATCGGTGCAAATTTCTACGTTGAAAACAGACAGACAGGATACCACACGAATTGGTTTATAAACTTTAGGTGATGAACACTAACTATCCACATCTCTTCACTCCATACTGAAGATCAGATGAACCAACCAACCAACCAACCACGCAGCCAACAACATACTGGGCTAACAAAAATGCCAAATGAAAAAAGGCAATGGATCAGACAGATTCTGAGGAGTGTGATATGGAGGCGATCATGTGAAGAGGAGATCAAAGCTTATATAGGCGAAGACAGTGAAGACAGGTAAAGCGGAATTCACAGGACAGGATGAAGTAGAGATGTCCTGCTGAAGCCCTTTGTTCAATTCGGGACCTAAGGGAATCATAACAATGAAAATAAATAAGTAATAAGTGTCCAGTCTAGTCTCCTGATTTCAATCCAAATGATTACTGATATAAAAGATATAGAATGTGCTATCTACTACTATTGTTCACAACTACCTGAATAATCTTTATTTTAGTACCATATCAATGGTTACAATGTAGTAACACGGATACAGTGCTACATCCCAAAGCCAACCACGAATTTCTTTCTCACTTGATAACTTATTGTGCCGTGCGTAGTGTGCAGAGATTGATAAGAAGCGGCCAGAACTGAAATCAAAGTTCAAAGTTAATGACTTTTACTTTACTTCGGCTATCTCCTACGGGAGGATGAGCCGGCTTCATGAACATGAGTTCATGAAGTTTCATGGGAATTTGGTACGAGTGATGTCCCCAGAATCGCTCGGCCTTTTGTTTGAGAGTGCAGCTCTAGCCTTTACACAACCAAGTGTGACCTACAAGGCAGTGGGAGTGGAGTAGGGAGTCCACTATCCATTGGCAGCCGGTGACCGGAGTCCGGTTCATACGCCTTTTTGAATGGGGCCAGACATCCAGGACATCCAACAAGCCCTTTGTCCATACGTGTGCCGGTGAGCTCCAGTGAGCTTCATACGCCAGTCGTTGGAGGTTTGGAATCAGGGTTTAGCCATCTCCCCTAGACTGTCATCAATGGATAGTCAACCCGGTGAAGAGCGCCGGGCATCCGCTTTCGCCCTCTCACTTTGGTGAAAAACACCTCCACCACATGAAGGCATTGAGTAGGACTTCCTCAGGAGAGGCTATGTAAGACGCCCGGTCATCTGGGAGCATTTCAAGAGGTGTGCGGAGCGGTGGCCAACCCGCAGCGCAAGGCACCCACCCCCGACCATCCTGAGGCTTTGGAGGCAAAGTTAATGACTGCAGAGGAAGAGAAGTGTTTATCCCTTAAAATATCTGGATTTAATTTACATTTTAGGCACGGAATAACCTCATTGGATAACTTGCTTAACCTTGAGCCGATTGTCAACCAATCAGAATGATTTGTTATCCTCTGGCATAACCGAACTTTGATGTGACTAGGAATGTATAAATATGATGTGTTTTTCCGTAAATAAAAGTTTGTTACCAAATTTTCTCACGTTACACTATTACATTACATCGAATTTTTAAAAAAAGTGTCTGAAGTTCTTTAAAAAGAATGGTTATTGAACAAAGAATAGTCTTTTCGATAACCTACTTTTCATCAGGTTCTACAGTTATATATATATATATATATATATATATATATATATACAACAGTGAATGAATGAATTAGTGTTATTAATACCATTATTGTTGTTTAAATAACATCGAATCAATAATAATAAGAAGAAGAATGGATTACGGTACGATAACATCAACATAACAATACATTGAATTTCGGAAAACTTAGGAAAGACAATAATACAAATTTATGAATGTATATATATACATATACGAGTTGATCACGGATTGATATCAGTTCGAGAACCATTCAAAATCAGCACTGGAGTACTGTACAGCTGTTTCATCCTAGTTTGGGAATCACCAGCAGTACGCACTCACCACCAGAGTTTGAACCCAAGACTTTCCGGTTACAAGGCAAGCTAGTTCGTATACCATTCAGCCACTGGGACCCAACTCGTCAATGGCCAGCTCATGAATTCTAACTTCTACCAATTCGTGATTTAGCGTGACTGGCACCAACCAATGTCGTCGGTATACGAGCTTGCCTTGTGACAGGAAGGTGCTGGGTTCAAATCCCTGTAGAGGGTGCGTACTGCCGATGACTCCCAAACTAGGACGTAAGAAACAGCTGTCCAGTACTCCAGTGCTGGTTTTCAATGGTTCTCTATCTGATATCAATCCGTGATCAACTCATAAAAACAAATCTAATCCTTACAAACCAACTATAGAAATATATATATATATGCATCTGAAAAATAAGCAATATTAGATGCAAACAGTCAGAAAAAGTTGTGTATCGATTAGCAGTAAAGACGAAACTGTATATGCATATTAAAGATATGAGTTAATTTGCATGAATTAACAACTATAAGTTAAGTTATTCCTTTATTTATTGTACATAATTTAGTCAGTGGGTAGCAATTCTGTGTGAATTAAAAGTCAATCTGAACGAAGAATATTCTTTTCAATAATTTCTCTTCAGGTTCTTACAATTATAAAATATAATGTTTGTTGTCGTTACAATAATGACAGCCAGTTATGCGGCGGATACATTTTTTACGTAGAATAACAGATTAGTAGTTATGGGGTGTCAAAATAAATAGTCGTATTTGTGTGACAAACGTGCTAGGCTGAATTCGATTACAAAATATTGTTAAACGGGAGACAATGGTGATTAATGATAATAGATTTGTAGAGTGTGGGGTAGGAAAATTGACAAGTCAGTTCAAGGTTATAAAAGGTGTCAGGTGAATAGAGTGGCTAGTACAAAGTGGTCTGTGTTAAACAGGAGATGGTAAGACTGCAATGGGAGGTTCATAATGAGATAACGAATATGTGAAATGAAACAGGTGGAGGAAGGCATATATTGAGAAAAGAGATAATATCACTAATAATAATTCTGTGTGAAGATGAGAAACGTACGTAAAAAACGTTATCATGCTTATTATTATTATTGTTATCATTATTCATCCCTTGCTTTCCCAGTAGAACATAGGGCTACAGCAACACACCATCAATACCACTCATGTGTTCTTGTCATCACTTTCAACTAGATGCATGTGACAGTCCATCAGCTTTCAGTTCCTCTTTTCACATCAAGTCACCATCGGCAACAACTACGCGCAACTCATGACTTTCCTCAAACGATGGTTAGAAGCTGCGTAATGACATTCAACAGCCTACTACTCAGTGTATGTCCAATTCATTTCCATTCATCTCTTTCAGTGCTCTGGCTGGCTGGATTCAACAAAGAACTTGGCACCGAAGTGCACCAGTTCGAGTTGCCACATTCCAAAGAGCACACAAAGGTAGACAACAAGATGAGAGAGAAGAGGATCAATTGAGTTTTGACAAGTATAAGAGTGAGTGAAACAGAATGAGTAATGGTAGAAAGGAATAAGAAAGATTACCCAAGAGACTGAATACATCTGCGCTAGCCATTGACAACGATTTTCAGCCATGTCACCTATTGTCTCCAGCCATTCTTAGAGTCTTAGAGTCCCAAGGGCGGGCCCCAACCTGGAAGTCTGCATCTCCCTCCCTACCTGACTCAGTTTAACTGTCAAGGATTTCATGGATTGATGAGGCCATGTTTTTGTTTGGCCACCACTTACTCTTTTCCAACCTGCACCTATTGGTATCAGCTAGTAATGCCCGCCGAGGAGGGGGAGGCGATGGTTAGGCATGCGCAGCACGTGACCTAGCCATCTCAATCTATGTAACTTTATAGCCTCGTCGATTGAGTATGATGAAGCAAAGGGGATAATCCTGTTGATGAATGCCTGCAATAGCCTACTAGGAAATACTGTTTTGCATGTGTGCATTAAACCTTTAAACTATTGACTTGATATTAGTGTTCAATAAAATCTACATCTCTTCCAGTGTATTAAATGCAGTAAGTTTTCGCAATGATCTCAGAGAGTAATGAACGCCTGTCTTGTTTTTCTGATAAGCTTAAAGACTGTTGCTGCGATAAGTGGAAGAGACGAACATCTCTTTCGATTTCTCCCATTGATA